TGTCTGGAAATTCATATTTTAGGAAGATGAAACTCTGTGAGTATAATTAATTAAAAGAAAAAAAATGTCTATAATTAACAAAAATTCGATATTTTTGGTTGTAGAGTGCAAAATAGTATCCAATTTCACCTATTTACAACCTTAAATAGTTAATAAGTTAAGTTGCTTCACATCATAAATACAGAAATAGGAAGTTAATGAAATGAACTTCAGAATTTTATTTACTCAACGTGTTAGAGATTGAGTGCATTTTCATCACTGATATTATTATCATCTTAATTTAAATAAGCAATTCAATTGTTTTATTTATTTAATTGTCCCTTGAGTTCCTAATGGGCTTCAATAGCACGTCTCCATTGCACTCTCTTCTCTGAAATCTTTTCAACTTGACTCCACGACAGCCCACAACCTCTCGTTTCCTTCTCATACGACCTCCTCCATGTCACACTCACCTCGGACGCCCTACTCGTCGCTTCCCATCTGGGTTCCACTCGAGTGTCTGGCCTGACGCGTGATTTCCCAATCGACATTCTCAGTGTATGCCCAATTCATCTCCACTTCTTTCCAGTGCATATTAATTCAGCGATACCTTCTTGGTTGGTTCGTTCCCAGGCCAGAATTCCTTGTTACTTATCCTTTCTGGCCATCTGATCTCATCTTCACTAACGAGCCAGCATAGGTGGCAGTTGTTGATGAATATCTGTAGTTTGTTATTAATCCCTTTCGTAACGCGCCAACTCTTTGAAACATACAGGAGCACTGACTTCACGTTAATGTTGAAAATCTGGATCTTGTTCACACACACTTTATGTTGAGTGCAGTGCAGAAATCTCCACACTGGTTACAGGCTAATGAACGCCTGTCTTGCTTGCTTTTCCGATCCTGGCTGGCTTTGACGTCCTCGTCTGTGACTGTGCCACCTGTAGTTGAAACGATGCTGTCTAGATAGGTGAAGGAGGCTACTTCCTTTAAGTTTCTCCTGTTGATGGTGATTGAAGCTTGTTGTTGCTGTTGTTTTTGGTTGGGCATCTTCATCACCTCTGTCTTCTCTACCTTCACTTGGAGTCCCGTCTTCGCTGCCCTGCCTCGTCTCTTCTGTAAACCTGTTGAATCTTGCCTGTAGATCTTCGAATGTGTGGGACATTGGACACAAGTCATCGTTGGCGAAATCCAAATCTTCTAGGACCTTTTCATCGGTTCAGGTAGCGTATGCCCATCTTCTCGCTCCTCACTGTTTGTTGCATGATCCAGTCCGGTCCAGTCCAGTCCAGTCGACCACAATCAGGAAGATGGTCGGTGATAGTAGACTGCAGTCTTGTTTCACTCCTGTCTTCACTTCACTTCAAATACATCACTGAGCTACCCATTGTGAATTACTTGGCATCTTCATGGCGTCTTCAAATAGTTGTTGAATGAGGTTGATAAAGGTTTGTGGTATTCCGTGGTGTTGTATCGGTTTCCAAATTACTTGTGGGTCGACGCTGTTGAAGGCCTTTTGAAAGTCGATGAAGTTGAGGTAGAGAGTTGACTGCCATCCTGTACTCTGTTCTATGATGATGCGAAGCGTTGCAATTTCGTGCGCACTTGGTTTTTACTTACTGAAGCCTACCTTTTCCGGTGGTAGTTTTGAATCCAGTGCATCCTTTAGTCTCTCCAGGATGATGCGGCTTGATATTTTGCTTGGGGTGGACAGGAGAGTGATTCCGCGCCAGTTCTTGGAAACACTGAGGTCTCCCTTCTTCTGGAGTTTGATAAGGTAGCCCTTCTTCTTCTAATCTGCAGGTACCTTCCCTTCCTTCCACACCTGCAATGGTGGTGTGAGCATGTCTGCTGTTGTCTCTTCGTCTGCTCTTAATGCTCCTGGCGGGATTCCATCTGGTCCTGTTGCTTTCCCGTATTTCAGTAGCTTTATGGCGCTCAGTACTTCCACTTTTGTTGGACGATTGATGTTCACTTGTAGTTCTGCGGCTGCAGGTGGTATTTACTATTTACTGTTTTTAGAATGTGTTAATATACCTTGATCTTATGTTTTATCGCTCTGCTACGAATTTGGACTATATTATGTGTAGAATTTGGTTATCATCTTGACTATCTCAAATTAGTATTGATACTGGGTGATGATTTAAGATGAAATAAAAATTTGGACCGAGGTGGGATTCGAACCAGTGATCACCAGGTTTACGGCCTTGTCCTTTGCCAACCGAGCTATACGTTCTAAGTTAATATAAATTTATGTCTCCCTATTTATAACAAGAGGTCATAGACAATTGCTTCAACAGGCTGAACACGTCTTGAGAAGCAACTGACCTAGTCAGTCCACACCTGCCTATCATATGTCGATCAAAGGGTACTTGAGTAGAATACCTTTGTAATGAAAGTGTAAACAATTAACTTTGGATCTACATTGAAGTTGAAGTGAAATTCCAGGTATCCTTGACTAATATCCTAAACATTTTTCTAACCTATGTAACGTTTGGAAAAAGGGGGAATTTAAGTCTTCCAGTGTGAAATATTTTGATGTAATTATACCCATCACGTTTGTATTATGATGAATGATGGATTAAGACTATACGTATCAAGAATAAATACTATAAACACTAGAATGTCAAAGACTGAGGTGGTGTATATTCCTACAGATATCACGTGAATTATAAATTCAAGCGCTAAATTTTATCTTGAACGATAAAATCTTTAATAAGTAAATAATATTGTGATGTAGTTTGAGATTTATACAAATTGTTATTTTAAGGCAGTATTCATTACCGACTGACATCAGTTGGAGAACTACTGAAAACCTCGGAGCACTAGACAACTTTTTCATCCCAGTATGGTACTTCTCAGTACTATGCACCCATGACCCCACCCCTTTAGGAATTGAACTCGGGACCTTCAGGTTTCACGGTAAATCCGTGAACTATTCAGCCAGTGTCGGAATTCAGTGGTCCATAGTTTCCTACTTGTGTCAGTTCGCTACACTGGCTTAAAATTAAAATCCCCATAAATCTCAAACTACACAAGTGTATAGGGTTCACTAGTGACATGCTTATCAAGATAGATATCCCAAGATTCCAGTAGGAATCCTTGACTTGTGAGGTTAACCAGTTGGAAGTGAAGCGAACACCACGTGAAAACTTCGGTGGATAGTTGTGCTGTATTTCAAACTGATAGAAGTAGAAAACTGTGAACGAATGATCTCTGTGGATGAATGGTTAAGGCACTCTCCGCAAGACCTGAAGTTCCTGAGTTTGATCCCCAGAGGAGTGAGGTCGTGGGTGCGTACTGTTGAGGAGTCCATTACTCTCAGGTTTTCAATGGTTCTTCAAGTGATGTCAATCTGTGATGATTACTGCCTTAAAAACAATATTATGCTTATTACTTGGACTTTCTAATGAAGCTACTTTTATCGGACAGAATGATGTATACTTGCAAGAAAAAGTTTCCTTTGAGTTCCTGCGCTAATTGGTTAAATCCTTTTGTAGTTAAAGTCTTTCAAATTCAATACGCGGAAATACTGTAGCTTTTGTACAGTTGATTAAATCTACTTAGTTCTTTCTAGTATAACTGAAAAAAGTCAGAAAGGATTGTATCGTCTATAACTCCCTACATTTGAACACGTCAGATCGTCCTTCCAAAAGATTTACAATTGTCATTATTCTCAGGTTGTCTCAATAATAAATAGTACAGTAGGATATGTGTATTTCTGGAAAGCTTTTTCTCAATAAAATCGTTGGTGGAACTTGTGACACCTTGTTCCATGTGTATTTTAAACGATTTCTGATGGCTAGAACTTCAACTCTTCACTCAGATATACAATTCAATCTTTGTATTTGTGTGAATTTACTGATTTGAGGTTGGTATTCATCATGGACTGACATCATTTGGAGACATTAGAAACCTGAGACCAGTGGAGAGTTGTTTTGTCCTGGTGTTAGACTCCTTGGCGGGTCATGGGTGCTAACCGCTGAGGAGTCCCATACTAGACGAAACAGCTGTCCATTGCTCTCAGGTTCCCAATGTTTCTCTAACAAATGTTAGTCCATGTTGAAAAGATATAAAATTGTCCATCGGTAAACTTGTTTCAGCCTATAGAAGGATATTCCTATTTCTTATTTCGATCACTTGTTTCCACTCATGTTTATGAAATTTCACTATTGATTAAATGAACCGAATAACCATGAAAAATTGATAATTGTTTCATTTCAGTTTGTAAGTCAACAGTATACACCTACAACTCAGAGAGGAATCGAACTTAGGATTGACTGATCTCGTGTCGAGCGTACCACTGTTTAACCATGAGTTTGATATTCAGTTTGATGTGCGGAAGGAAGTGGAGATGGATCGGGCATACACTGAGAAGGCCGGCTGGGGACATCACGCATCAGGCTTCGAGTGGAACCCCGATGGAGAGCGACGAGTTGGGCGTCCGAGGTGAGTGTGACATGGAGGAGGTCGTATGAGGAGGAAACGAGAGGTTGTGGGCTGTCGTGGAGTCAGGTTGAAAAGATTTCAGAGAAGAGAGTGTATTGGAGACGTGCTACTGAAGCCCTATGTTCCATTAGGAACCCAAGCGACAAATAATAATAATTGATATTCACCAGTTCACAATCTCCTACTTCAGTGACTTTTCGACATAGTAAGGTCATCTACTAATGTCATCGGTGACCAAACGCCTTCACTCTTGACTTAAGTAACCCCAAAAAGAAACACAGCACTCACGGAATTATTTATAGTCAGAAAAACAAAGTATACTACACATTCACAGCCAAATTTTTAATGATAAACTGTTCATGAATGTATTTCACAGAAGTGTACGATGTTCCCTTCACACATTATTACATTGCTTCGTCTATCCTCAAATGCTTAACGTTTCTTATCTATCCTTGAAATAATAATCAATTTCTGTTGATTTCACACAATTGGTTCAAAATATGTTTCACAAAGATTTCTGCTATCAGTGTTATGTACGTGTTGTTCATTTCTTTTTTCTTATCTGTATTTAGGATGTTGATACAATGGAATCACTGGATAATGATTACTTTTTATATAGTCTACAAGCAGCTATATTCAATGGTCTCATTCCATCCAGTCCTACAAACAATAAGGTTTATCCTCCAGTAAATGAATATCATAAATTTTCATTTCCTTATACAACAAATACAATTCATGAAGAAATGGATCCATCTTTTGGTGAAGATCTAGGCTTAGGCAATACTCGTTTATCCTCTTCACTAAGTGCATATTCTTCATCGAACAGAAATTCGAAGGCATTTTCTCCTGATTATACTACTGTTAGTAATCCTAGTAGTAGTAATAGTAATAATCGCTTTAAATTCCCACCGCCTGGTCCACCAGTTGCTGGTTGGGTTAACCAGTTTGCTCTACGAGAGGAAACCTTGAAAAATTCAGTTTCTACTATTTCTAATCCAAATACTGTACTACCGCCGCTATCAGAACAAAATGAGAGAAAAGCATCTCAAAAAAAGCAGAAGAAACAACAACAGAACACTCCATCATCATTATTCAATACTTCTCTAGACAATTCTCCCATCACTATGCTCAAAACTACTGACTTATCTTCTACTACTAATAATAAAAATAGTAATGATTCTATTATTGCTGCCGCCGCATCCTCACTAGCCACCGTCAGTAGATCCATTTCATCTGTACCACCATCACCGCAACACATTCCATTCCAATTTGTGCATTCATCTCGTTCACTTGGTTTAGCATCTTCAAATATTATTCCAAGAAGACATGCAATCATGAAATATCCTATTCAAGAGATACCGATAGTAAGCAATTTAAGAAGGTCAGTTCAAATTAATCCACCATCCCAGCTATCTTCAACACTAACTAAGTTAGGTAAGTTCATAAATTGCTGGAAATAGTTTCTTCCGATGAGTTTCGGGTGTTTTTTTAATATGCAGTAGAATAAGTAGTGTTTAAACTGACTGACTGACTGACAAAATCAGCGTAGAATCTGTCACAAGGGTGCATCCGCTCAAGTTGCCACACTTCACAGAAGTACATAACGAGCAGATGGATAGAACAAGACTGATATCAAAGTAGACAAAGTTGTGTGAAAGAAATAAGACTCTAAAGATAATGGTTAGCGTGAATATTCAAGCTTTAGAAAATGTCAAGAAGTGAATGCAATTGCTACCTTCCGACCGATTTCCAGCCATATAACCAAGTGTCCTTAACCACTCATTCCTTTTGTCTCGGAGACCCCAGTCAGGTAGTTCTCATCTCCTCACATGACTCAGGCGAACAGTAACAGACTTCATGGAGTGGTGCCACGTCTTGGTGTGGCCACACTGAACCCTTTTCCATCCCAATCCAGATTCCCCTACCATGGCACGTCGAGGTAGGCGATAGATTGGCATTCGCAATACATATCCAAGCCATCTTAGCCAGATAAGGTTCACGATCTCATCAATCGACTTGCCTGTCTTGCGTTGTACCATCTGCCTAACTTCAACATTGATCACTCAAGGACTACACCAAACAAGAGCAATGCAACGAAGTCACCTATGATCAAAACTCTGTAACCGCTTTCTATCTTCTACTGTCATGCAGCATGTCATACATCCGTATGAGAGGACAGAATGAACTGCTGCACAGTATACTTGTCCTTTAATAGGTATTCGACAGATCACGGAAGTTTCCAAATGCCAAACGGACCATCTGTATCCGAGCTGAGATTTCGTCAGTAACCAGCCTCTGTGGATTGATGCACTTCTTCAAGTAAGTGAAATTGCTGACGCATTTCACCACTTCATGCTCTGTCGTTAAGCTACGAGTCATTACAGACCAATTCTGGAGCATCATCTTACATTTTATGAGTGTGAAACGCATGCCAAACATATTCAGATTTCTACTCAAGGCGTTTAGAAGACCTTGCATTTTGTCAGCACCTTCACCTAGCAGGAAAATATTGTCTGCATATTCCAAGTCAACTTGATGACCTCTAGGGAGTAGGTCAATTCCTGTGTAGTCAGACATATATAGGGTTATGTCTTTTAGTACGACTCTGGCACAGTTAAGTAAGAACAGTGACAGTGGACATCCCTGCTGGACATCACTAGTTATTGTCAACTGACTTGACAACTCTCATAAGCCCTGACACGGCTGCGTCAGTTCTAGTAGAGAGCTTTGATAAGCATTACTCGGTACTTTCTTCCCCTAACAAGTATATAACGCTTGGTGCTTAAAATGTGATTCAGGACTTGGTAGTATTGCAGGGCATTTTCATCCTAGTTTAGAACTATTTGACTGCATACAGATACAGTCTAAGAGCTGTATGCTTTTCTGAGAATTCTATGGTTGAATCATCAAACGTTAATCGTAAGATGAAGTTACTGAGTTTCAATCTGTTTTCGGCTAAGAGTATACAATAATGATGGAAGAAGAAGAAACTCACTCAACGACCTTGTGCACATGCCTGCAGTAGGCAGTGAGCCACACCTATTGTATGAAGGCCAGTGATACTATCTGTCTACCCAAATCTCGGCAGGTGAAGCGGGGTTTGAACCTGTGACCTACAAGTTGATAATAATCTCCCTAAAACACTGAGCAACAGTTCCACTACAATAATGATAAGTCATAAACATTCCAGCGATGCCTGATTTTCAACAGTTTTGTGGTCTATGATAATCTGTAATGAAAGATATGCTGATATAATTTGATATTTCTCTTGAATTTATTTACATCTCATATGTACTGGTTATGACAAGCTTTCATTAACCTGAAATCAGCGTGGAGATCTACTGCACTCTACTCAGCACAAAGAACAAGGTGCGAATTTTCAACACTAATGTCAAGTCAGTGCTGCTATATGGTTCAGAAACTTGGTGCGTCCCGAAAAGCACTTCCAACGAATTACAGACACTCATCAACAACTGCCACCTATGCTGGCTCGTTACTGAAGATCAGATGGCCAGAAAGAATAAGCAACAAGAAACTCTGGGGACGAACCAACCAAGAATTTATTACCCAACAAATATGCACTGGAAGGAAGTGGAGATGAATTGGCATACACTGAGAAGGCCAACTGGGTGCATCACGCACCAGGCCAGGCCCTCTAGTGGAATCCAAAGGGGAAACGACGAGTCGGGCGTCAGAGGCGAGGGTGACATGGGGGAGATCATGTGAGGAAGAAATGAAAGCTTGTAGGCCGTCGTGGAGCGAGGTCCAAAAGACTGCAGAGAAGAGAGTGCAATGGAGACGTGCTACTGAAGCCCTATGTTCCATTAGGAACCCAAGGGGAAAATAATAATAATAATAATATACTGGTTATGCTAAGTACCATCCAGACGTAATCAAAAAACACATTATTATGATATAATACACTTTCATTTGATAAACTCTTCTCTTCCAAGGAACTCATCATCTTCAATGTACACTCATAAGTATAAAACACAAAGCACTGAATGAGTTTTTAACCGGACATTTAAGTTAACAAGGTTGAAAATATGAATGAAAGATAATACATATTAACGTGACTACTTTCTCGCTAAGAAATATAACATAGCTTCTTCATACTAAATAATTCTCTAGAAAGATATCAATCCAAAGCAGTTTTCCAGGTACACAATGAATATAGAGATTATAGAATCACTCATTACAGGTGCGGTTATGTTTTATCCTCTGAACAGTGTGGTCGAGTGTGGCAGACTGTGTAAAACTTTTCACTAACAAGAGTTAGATAACTGGAATCTATGGTATTTTTAAATTTGCAGAGCATTTAGCAAGCCAGCACACAATATAAGATATGGATATCTTTGTACAGGAAGGCACATACTGACGTACCACAATATTTAATCTTTTCCCCAGAAACACACTGACATTGCGAGCTATCACAACGAGAAGTCAACTTATGTATTTACAACGAAGAGGATTATGTATAGAAATCTTCTTCGCCCACCCTCTTCCAATGAAAGCGATAGCCCCAGACACTTGCTGTTGTGTCATCTGTAAACTTAAAGCTGTTTGGTGGAGCAGTCGTTAAGGTGCGTATAAGAACATTGTACAGCACTCTTTACTGAGTTTTCTCCTGTAGTAGACTAAATGACTAGTTATCTTTTCGATATGATTACTTCTGTAGAAGTTATGGTTGCAGTCCAGTCTATTTTACGTATAGCATTATTAAATTGAGCCCATTAGGCATACTTTGCCACTAAACTATCATGTAATTTTCCCAACTGAGTCTGACATTTCTGTTCCCAGCACGATTTTTGAGTTTTTAGAAAGTTAAGGTTAAATAAGTAGCTTAGAGACCATATAAAATTCTTATTTGTATTTGGATAAAAGTGAAGTGATCAGTCGAATAAATGCTTCCCTTTAGAAGTTTGTTTGCCATTATTTATTGAGTTTTCATAAAGTACCACAGCATACTTCAGTGTTTTAAAAAGGCTGAATATCTCACAGTCAGGGATAATAAATCATGACTTTCAAACTAGCTACTTCTGGGTTTTTGTTCACTGATGGAAATGTGAATTACGCTGTCAACTTTATCAATTGTAAGCTAAATTAAAATAGGCAGTTTAAATTGCAACGGTGAAGAATAATATTAGCTCAAGGACATGATTTTGACAGTGTTGTGTTCTCTTCACTGTCTTTTATGAAGACCAAAATATTGAATACTGAGGGAAGGAAGACAAGCCAAATGTTATCTACAAAATGAACTCCAGAAACTGAGAAAAACATTATATCGGACAAAGTAGTCACCCTCTTCTACATAAACATCAACTAATATAGTGAAGCACCATCATCATCATCGTCCTCATCATTATCAACATAGGACCAGGCATTACTGCGTAACGGTCCGAGTTGCCACACCTCATATCAGCACATCAAGTAAAAAGGTAGTGAGGCAAAGGATGAAGATAAGTGAATGCAGTCAAAAGAAATATAAAGTACGAGAAGAAAAGAAAGAGGAGTGACAAAATGGTGAGATTCGGTATAGCGTTGTTAAGATGAGGATAATGTGTGTATACATCTGCGCCACTGACATCGGTTCTCAGCCATATCACCTAGGGTCTCCAACCACTGGTTCTTCTTGTCCCGTGGACTCCAACCACCTAGTCTGCATCGTCCTACATGGCTTAAACCAACAGTCAGAGACTTCATACATTGGTGCCATGTTTTAGTCTGGCCACCTCGAGCCTTTTTCCAGCCTGGAACCATCTCAGCCAACATTGTATGACAAGGCAATCGGTGACTAGGCATACGTAGTACGTGTCCCAACCATCTCAGTCGATGAAGGTTCACAACCTCGTCAACTGACTTACCTCTTCTCCCCAAAACTCTACACCTAACTTCTGCATTACTCACATGGTGACACCACGGAATACGTCATTTATTACGAAGGCAACGGTGATCAAACACCTGGAGCTTTTTTGTATCCTCCACTTTCAGTGGCCATGTTTCACAGCCATACAGTAGAACAGAGCGGACTGCTGTGCAGTACACGTGACCCTTAATAGACAAACGAATATCACGGCGGCAGCATAGGTGGTGCAAATTGGAAAAAGCCAATCGAGCCTTTTGTATCCGTGCAGAAATCTCATCGGCAACTAACCCACCAGGGTTGATCCTACTTCCCAGGTAAGTGAATTGGTCAACACACTCAACCACTTCTCTCTCTCTATTGTTAGCCGCGGTGGGGCACCGCTGAAGACCAGTCCTGGAGCAAACATTGGTATTTGGGTGGTGAAAATCGAATCCCAAACATTTTCAAATTCCCACTCAAAGTGTTCAGAAGACTCTGCATCTTGTCAGCGTTTTCACCTAACAGGACTATGTCATCTGCATATTCTAGATCTAAAGAAAATTCACCTGTGATTGGGTCAACGTCTGTGTATTCAGGTGACGAGAAGGACACCTCCATAAGAATATCTATGATAAAATTAAATAAGAATGGGGATAGTGGGCATCCTTGACGGACACCACTTGATGAGTATAGCTCCCTGGACAACTCGTCATAGGCTCTAACATGCCCACAAGTGTTCGAGTAGAGAGCTTTCAATAAGGTGATGTACTTACTAGGCACGCCTTTCAGTGACAGACATTGCGAAGTGAAGCACCATGGCACATCTTCGCTCATATTAATACATATAGACAATTATGAACATGAATTCGACTGGGAAAATATGGTAATCCTGGATCGAGAAAATACAAAGAATGCCAGAGAATTCTTGGTAGCTTAATTTTCAGGTCAGTCAACAATCAACAGACTTATTGACATTGAGCCAACCGATCAACCAATAAGAAACAACAAGAAGATCAAAGTTCATGTCATTAGGAGGACCAATGGAAATAAATATGGAGACAATAACCAGAATTTAAAGGAGACAGTCAATCATCCAAAAGATCATCAACACAAGCTATTAAAACAGTAGTAGAGAAAATCTTATCGATAGTTATCTAAAGTCTTTGCTTATGATACTGTCTAGAATGATGATGAAAGCTTATCAATTAAGCCATCCAGCTCAGAGAACGCAACACCATCAAAAATATCCATTGTTCATATATCATTTTGTGCAGTAACCAATGAACTATACCTATACTTCGTTAGGAGGAGTGGTTTTCGAACCCACGACGCACTAGTTGAAAGTCAACTCCCTAAACCAATCCGCTACCTAGTGAATCCATAGCGAAGTAGCAATCCCCTCTAGTGTTATTGCGTCGTAGGAAACAATATTTGTTTATCTGCTTTTTAATAAATAAATTATCAAATAATTTAGCTTTTCTTTGATGGCATTCTTGTATGTTCAGTTGTTAATGACTGCTTGCTGTTTCTTTTGTTCTTTCCTTTCTGCAGATATACTGGTTGCGCCACATAATTCTCCTGTTATCTTAGCCAATACAAAATTGACTTCTGATTGTGGTTTGCTGTTATTTGACAGTAGCAATAGTGGTGCTAAGAATAATGATAATGTGAATCAAGGTCAACAGTTACAAAGCCCTTTGAGTTATTCAGACGCACAACAGAGTGACAGCGGTTATCATGATTCAATCGTCATCCGTGAACACTCCTTACTGTCATCATTGTCTGTAGATCACTCACTAGATTTCCAATCATCACCGATATTGCTAACATCATCAGATAATGAATTGACAAAAGATTTGTTTAGTACTGTTACCGCCATTCCCACCGCCATCAATGATACTACTCACTCTACTACTACTAATTCCATTCCCATAACTACTCATTCAAGTGTAGACAATACACTAAATGACCATTCAATAGTAGGTGATAGTAGTAATTTAAACAAAATTATGGAGTATGCTTATGCAAAACTAGAAATTCCTTTGCCTATTTCACAACCTATTCCAGTTTCGTCGTCAGCATCATTATCATCATCGATTAGTTCACCGAGTACTGGAGCAAGTTCTGACAATAGCACCAGCGTTATGCTACGTGATAATTCGGGTAGGTTGTATTTAATATATGCTTGATAGTATTCCTTTTATTATTCCATGCTTAGTCAAATGATGTACTCGCTATTTCAGTCTATCCATATGCTCCCATACTTTTTCTTGACTGATCAATTTGCAAATGAATTACACATTTCACGATCCACGTTGGCATTTTTAGCTGATGAGTAGTTTTGTCAACTACTCAACTATGATATCGACAGGGTTTCTGTCGGAAACCAGCCAACCAATATCACAAGATGTTATCTCTGACAAAGATGTGTAATGAACCAGTGAAATATGCTATTACTGAACAACTTCAGTAGCAAAAAATACTCAGGCTGATCTATTGCTTTCGCCAGGCAGTCACATCGGAAAGGTCTAAAAGCCTGTTGCCTTCGTAGCATCCGTGTTTTCTGTGTGTTCTATAATCAATCAGTGGGCAGTGAAAATCTCGGAAAGCGGGTATAAGATTTACCAGTTACCATTTAGCTAGCTTATGAGGCTGTTTAAAGGTAAGTGACTGAGGTATGTACATGGCATGTTAATCGGAAGCTCCAGACAACTATATTAAGACAGCACAACTCCATAAAGCCTTTGACTTTAGGTGTGCGCTACGCAAAGAAGTGAAAATGTGATTTGTTGGTATCTTGAAGACGAGTGATATCAACTGTGAGATATGACTTAAAAACGACTGTTGTAATGCATGTCCATCGTTACCATTTCACAGGGTCTTAATCATAGGTGCTTTCATAGTATTGCTCGCGTTTGGTGGGATTACCATGTGAGCAATGTTGAGGTCAGATGAAGGGTGCCAGGCAAGACAAGTAGGTGGGTTGATGAGGTTGTGGACCTTAGTCGACTGAAATGGTCTGGGCACGTACTGCGAATGCCGATCATCTGCCTATCTCGTACCGTACTAGGGGAAGCTGGATTAAGTTTGAAGAAGGTTTAGAGTGACCAAATCCGCTCGGGGCAGCAGTCAATGAAGTCTCTTACTGCCGTTCTGAGCTATGTGGGGAATATAGACTTCCTGGCTGCGATGGGGTCTTTGAGACGATAGGAATAAGTAGTTGGGGACTCTTAGTGACATGCCTAAAAATCAGTCCGAATTGTGTAGATGTATTTACTATTTGATGTCTTCTAAAGCTTGAATTTCTACCCTAATCTTTATCTTCAAATTGGTTATTTCCTCAAACAACTTTGTCTACTTTGATAACGCTCTTTTTCTATGTGTATACTCTTTGTGTGCTATAGTGAAGCGTAGCAACTTGAGGTGATACACGTTTGTGTGAGGTTCTGCTTTTATTCTGTCAGTATGTCTATAAAATTTGGACGTTTCATTATCTTATATCATTATTTCCATTGCGTCCGTCATTTCTTTTCATGACCTCCTTCTTTATTGGCCTATATGATGCATAGCAGCAACTTGAACGGATACGCTGTTTTATCAGATCCTATACTGTTTATGTCTGTTTGTCTGTCCACGCAGTATACTACGCATTTACAACTCCGAAGCTAATTAAATGCCTTTATGGATTTAAGAAGGTTTTCTTAGCTGTAGTCGTCTTTCTCTTTTTTTATATACCTAGAATAACTTCATATAAAATCACTACTAAATGCATACGCATGTTTTATACAATTTTATCGCTGTTTATTTTAGTTTTTATATACTATAATCGATAATTCTAAGTGATTGTTGTCAAATTGAATTGCCCTGGTACATTACTTAGCTGTTCAACACTAAATAAGCGTGTAGATTACTTTAATCTGATTAGTGAAACTTATGAAATATAACACAATAAAATTATCATTTACATTGCTGAGTATCTGTCGTCATGGCCATCAGGCTTTGACTCCACCGGTCACGACTTCTCATTGGAACTTCGGGAATACTTCTCGAAGCTAGTCACCAATGAGCACCAGTTCAATTAAATTTTGAGGGAGTTGTGGAGATTTGGAATTATTTCAAGTTGTTATTCATCGTAGACTGACATCAGTCGGAGGAACAAAGGAAACCTGGGAGCACTGGACAGCTGTTCCGTCCTAGTATGGGACTCCTCAGCAACGCGCAACCATGACCCCACCAGCAGGGATCGAACCCGCGACCTTCAGGTTCCGCGGCCAGCGCGTTACCATTGAGCCACTGGGTCAGAATCCAATGCTCCATATTTCCAACTTCTGTTAGCTCACGATATATAGCGCAACCGCCACCCAATGTCATCGTTGAGTATTTGTCCTCATGGCCATCAGGCTTTTTACATTGTTTAATCTCTATAAAATGGGCAATTTTATTTTGTCTAGTTCTAAGTCGACCGAGTTTTATTGATCATTTCGCATTGTAGTCACTAACCGAAAAGACCCAGTATTGCGTTTCATTTTGATACCATCTGAATAATGTTAATAATAACAGTATTAAAGGCAATAATTTGAGACAGTCAGCTAGTATTGGATTAGTGTTCGGTCTCAAAGTGGAGAATGAACAGAAAAGCAAACCCGAGGTAAATCATTCAGCCAGTACAAGAATATTCTATTCCAATTAAGAATCCGAGAGATAAGAATATAATGTATCTTTGTGCATTTAAAAGTATATTTTCATCTTATATGATATTTTTTTCCTTTGAAAAACTAATAGTTGAAAACATTTGAAAATGCTAAAGGAGTATATGATACATTTGAAGGATATATTTCAAAGATTAAAACTTACGGAAACGGGCACAATTTGATGTAATATTTCCGGTGTGAACATTTTAGCAGCCCAAGGTTCAAGCAGGCTACTATGTATCTGCAACCTCCAGGAAACGGATATCCCTACAGTACTGCAATGAACTGTTCGCGCACATGACTGATCTCTTTTAAGACTGAGCTAGGTACATAGTTTGATCACTGAATATTAACTTATTTCACGTCGTCTAGACCTGAGTTCTGACTGAATTTTATCGATCATTTTGCAATGTGCTCATCAAGCTAGCAGTTTCACTACTGTAGTACATTTCGATTGATATTAGTTGGCTGGAGAGAATCGCCTCTGACTGCATTGTTGAGTTACGCACGTTGGAATCTCCGGAGCGATGTCAGTTCTCTGGAAGTTGTTGATATGCCTTGCTGATGAGTACCAAAAAACTTGAAACCTACATTGGGGGGGATTTTCTTGAATATTGTTTCCAATCATCTAAGTGCAATCATTACTTAAAGCTGTTGTGATGTTACTTTGAAAGACTAACGCGTATGGCTATGAATTTAAATCCAATGTACAGAGACTTTGAATCATCTACACCTTCCATGTGTCTTTCAAAGTAAAACTGCTTAGCCTTGTATAACAGATTAATAATCATTCGTACATGATATTTACAAAGATGGGATTAATTTGTGAAAAAGAGATTGTTTAAAACTCATCTTTCATCATCGTCGTCATTCAGTAAAAGCAATCTGTTAATGGTTATTATTTTCACTGTTTTCTTATCTCGTTCAATTTACTCTACATTATAGACGTGTCTCAACCAAGCACCTAAAGCTAAATTCAAGATTATTGGCTGACAGTTGTCTGTTGACAAAATAAAAGAGGTTCATTAACCGATGACGTTACATTTTTCAACTGGTCACTATCAGTCACATTTAGTTTGTTAGGGCTATTAACGTTATCTAGATTCCAAGACCACAGAAATGGAGTGTGCATGATTGGGATGTGTAATTTAATGATTCAGAGGGGCTCTTAAGGACACTCTAACAACTCTTAAAATAGCCAGTAAGGTATCTTTATTTTATGTCAAAATGCCTTACTAGTCTATTTTGGGAAACCTGATTGACTAATTCAATCGTTTTTTGAAACACTTTTAAAGTTTTTTTATTAACTGAAATTTAAATAATTAAACTGATGAACAAATTTGACTCTATAGGCGACCCTACCAACGAATGAAGTATGCAGTTAGGTTTTTCACTTTCGGCTGAAACGCTAATTTCTGTCTAATGGCAAAACGTGATTGATTATCTTAGGAGATGTTCGTGTGAGTCATGAGAACACATCTGTACGCATACAACGGATCTGGACATTCAGAGCAAGATACTTATTATCAGCACTAGACTAAATACAAGGTTAGATGAAAATAGGTTAGGCAGTTACTATGGAGATTTCTGCTTATCATACCTCTTTATACTGGAATGTGATTGAAGATGAAATGAAAATTTGGATCGCCGCAGGATTCGAACCAAAGGCCACTAGGTTTCCGGCTCGATGCTCTGCCAACTGAACTACAAGCTTTGACTGCTGACCAAAACTTTGATTCACTGCAATCACCAAGGGTTTTGCCCGGCTACCATGTGAATTCGTGATGCACTACTGTCGCTTGATCGTACTCACACTGGCTGCCTAGTCAGGACTCCTCATCGGACAGGAAACCCGATAATCGCTAGTTCGAATTTGAAAGCGATTAAAATTTTCACTACACCTTGAATCATCACCCAGTATAAATGTTGGTCTGCTAAACCACGGTTATCTCAGATAGTCAAAATTATACCTTTTTAGTCCATATTGGAAAAAATTTACTACTCTATCTACGAATTGCTTTTAGTGTGGCTATAATGCCCGAAGTAATACGTCCTGTCAATCAATTTGGAGAAGATTGTTCTGGATAAGTTTAAACTAGAACTCATCATCAGTTGGAAAACTGACAAAAACCTGAGAGCACTGAACAGCTGTTTCTTCCTATTATGGGACTACTCAGCAGCGCTCACTCACAGCCGAACTCAGGACCATCAGGTCTTGTGGCGAGCTTGATATCACTCAGCCACTGAGCTAGAATCTAGTTCGGTCTGTATTTGCCTTTTTTTGTTAATTCACTTAATAGCGTGACCAACATCGAAAGCCATCGGCGAGTATTTGTTCTTCCATTTTTTTATACATATAAAACTTGGGCACTATGGTAGAATTTTAATTCCATATTAGATTTGTTAGAATAATAACGACAACATAGATAGAAAGGAGTTCACAGCCTCCATTGTGTTACCCTATAAGGAAGA